ATTCTGAGGCATGGTCTCAAAGACTAAGAATCAAAAGACTGTTCTTATTCCAGCTCAATTCTTGCCTTGAGTGAAAAGTTTGAACAACCCTCCCTCTTTGAGTGTCAGCTTGCTCATCCGAAAAATGAGAGTTTTAAGCTAGCTGAATTCTCGAGTCCTTTCTAATTTGTCCTGCTCTATGATAGTTTGATGGTTTTAAGACACACCTGCAATTTCTTGGACACTCTTCCATCAAAGGGAATCTAATTCCTGTCTCTTTGAACATGTTGGCACTCGTGACTCACTTCTGAGGAAGACAATGTAGCAGAAGAGACACCGGGAGGCTTCTGGACTAGACCATAAAGTCACGCAGCATCTCCGTCTCTCTCTCTCTTTCTTTCTGAGCAAACAGGTTACCAGACCAGCCCTGAAGCCACTGTGCTGGAGATCACACAGAGATGCCTGAGGACTGCCAGTGGATAGCCCGGCGGTCCGATCTTCCAGCCCAAGCATCAGTGGATCCCCTCCCCAACCTCCAAGCAGCCACAACCGGAGCCCCGCCCACCTTGCAGATTCACGCAGAAAATAAATGCTGTTGTTATTTTAATAAGCAGTTATGTCTGGGGGTGGTTTGCTATGCAGCAGTAGGTAACCAGAAATGATGGTAAAGCTAGGAGCCTCTGAATGCCTGGAGTAAACATTTTAGCAGCTGAGGCACATGATGTTTGAAGTTGGACTAAACACATTTCAGTGGGGTGGATGACATTTTGAAGTTATTTTGCATGCTGCGTCATTTAATGACTGACTTCAGGCACCCAGATCCCCTACTGGGTCCACCTCTTTCAGGAGACAAGGGAGAGGACCCCAAAGTCCCTGTGAGCCCCAAGTGGAATGCTTACCTCTCCTGCTTCTGAAGTCTTCCCGTGGCATCCGAGGAACAGAACTCTCCTCATTCCTCCAGCCCTGCTCATTCTCTATCCCTCTGCAGGCTCATCCTTTTCCTTCTGGCCTTTCAATGCCCGAGTTGCTAAAAGCTCAGTCCTCGGCCCTTGTCCTTTTCTCAGCTCTAGACCTGTATATCCTTCTGTGGTGTAATAAAAATATGTGTTTGGCCTTTGTCCCCAGTCCTGGCACAGAAGGCCTACAACGCTGGAAATTTCCTGAGTGATGGGAGTGCCTTAAGTTATGAGCCCCTTTCGATCACACCTATTTATGTTAATGAGGTGATTTAGGGTAGGGCCCCTAGATGGCCTCAGGGTAGCCCAGGGTGGAGGAGGGGGCTGCAGATTGAGCTCTATGAAAGCTCTTGAACAATAAGCTTCAGAGAGCTTCCTGGTTGGTGAACACATTGACGTACTGGGAGGGTGGTGTACCTGCAGAGGGCTTGGAAGCTCTGAACTCCTCTCCTCACATCTTTTTCATTTCATTGTTCCTGAGTTGTATCCTTTACACAACTGGATAAACTGGTAAATGCAAATAAAGTGTTTTCCTGTGTTGGGGAGGAAACACTTTTCCTCTATCCTCTTAGGTTCAGTTAAATGACCTTACTGGGTAATTTGGCTTTCCTTTTCTTACTTTCTTTTTTTTTTTTTTCCTGAAATACTGGATGTATGCTTAAATACTGGATGTATGCTTTTTGGTTAGTGTTGGTCTCCAATATATCGAGAGCTCCATGAGGGTGGAGTCCTCTCACATTTTCACCAAAGAGAAGAGTAACAGGGCTTCAAGACAGATTAGGAGTAAAAAAAGGTTTATCTCATATGCACATGGGCACTTCACTAGAGAGAAGTGAAAACCCCTAAAAGCTGTTAGGCCAAGGAGCTTATATCCCACCTTAGCAAAGGGTGATAAATTGTGGAAAAGTGACAGAGGAAAAGGTGCTTGGGCTTCTAGGGGCAGTAATAGTGGGAAGGTAAATATAAGGGGGAAATGAATGGAAGATAAAGGTCATTTAGTCAGGTTTATGTAGGTTATAAGGTTTAGTAAGTTTATGCAGACTTAAGTCAGCATCATCTCCAGGGTCATTTCTGGTGATTAAGAGAGGGAAACACATTTAGAAGTGGATAGTTATTATGTTACTTTTACAAAGGGAAAATTAGGCCCTGCTTTTAGGCAAAAAGTGGGAGGACAAAGATCTTGAGCTGGCTGTCTTTAATTGCTTTCTCAAAATAATCCTTATGATGAAGCGGCATATTTGCAATAGCACATTCTTATCCCCGTGACCTGAGTTCTGTGAACCATTCTGGTGGATTACTGAACCTGAAAGGGGGGATTGTGGGAACCCCCAAATGTGTACTTGGCTGGCCCAAAGTGTGGTGGCCTGGGCACCCCATGTGCAGCTGGCATCCGAAAGGGGGCTCTCTCACAGGAATGAGCCCTTTACCCTGCAGGATCTGATACTACCTCCGGGTAGTTACAATCAGACTTCAATTGCTGGATACCCAGGTGGTGTCAGAGAATTGGTGTCAGAAAGAACAGAGAATCTATTAAGCTCAAAATGCCCAAAATGGGATTCATGATCTTGCCCTCCCTCCATTCCTCTTCTTGATGGTCCCTGCCCCCAGGGAGTATGACTGCCTCTAGTAACCGCTCATGTCCAAATCCTCAAGGCACCTCCAGCCCTCCCCCCCTTCCCCTCTATGGGTCCATAAGCACGTCATGCTGGTCTCACGCCTAAATAGCTCTCAACCACCATCACCACTACTCTTGACCTAGGTGTGATCACCTTTCACCTGAAAGATACTGAGAGTTTCCTAACAGATTCACCTACATTGCCTCTATCCCCCACAATCTGCTCTTCATCCTGCTTCCAGAAGGAGCTTTCAAAACTTAAATCTGGTTAGTCACACCTATGATTCAAAATACTCCAATGGGAGGGGGGCGCTTGGGTGGCTCAGTCGTTAAGCGTCTGCCTCGGGCTCAGGTCACGATCCCGGGGTCGTGGGATCGAGCCCCACATCGGGCTCCCTGCTCAGCTGGAAGCCTGCTTCTCCCTCTCTCATTCCCCCTGCTTGTGTTCCCTCTCTCGCTATGTCTCTGTCTGTCAAATAAATAAATAAAATCTTAAACAAAACAAAACAAAAAACAAAATACTCCAATGGTTTCTCGTTGCTCAAGGCCCTGAGTGGCTGGCCCCTTCCTACCCCTGCATCCTCAGCCCCCGGCCCTTGGGCTACACAGGCTTCTTTCAGTCTCTCCCTATGACCCATACTCCTTCCCACGTGGGGTCTTGTATGGGTTGAATTGTTCTTTGTAGGCCCACTCACCTTCCTCCTGGAGGCCTCCCTGGCCTCCCTGGCCAGGTTGCATCCTTCATAGCATCTGCTAGAGTGGCTGAGTCTGTATTTGCTTATGTGGATTTTTGGTTAATGTTGGTCTCCTCCAATATATAGAGAGCTCCACGAGGGTGGAGTCCTCTAACATTTTCACCAAAGAGAAGAGTAACAGGGCTGGACCCAGGGCCCTGCACAACCCTAAGAATGATGCCTCCTTAAGTCCCACTCCTTAGGCTTCTCACCTTCTCCAGTCCCAGTCCTGCAGTGGGCACATGCCCTGAGAGGATCAGCACAACCTCAAAATCTCTTTGAAATCTTATTTTATCTTCCAAATAATTTGCAAAATTTGTGCTTACCTCCCTAATATATAAATGTTTACCTAAATGTAAAAATAATGTCTTCTTCCTCAAATCTTGGAGTTGTTCCAGAAGGAACACCAGAAGTATCTGGTTCCTCTTGTAAGCTCCCAAGTTGACATGTAATTATAGTAATTCTGTATTGGGTACAGTAGGACCTACCATCCCAGCAAGAGGACAGCAGAGCCCCTACCTCATGAACACCATCCCCAGCCCTGGCTTCCTACCAATGGGAGAAATCTTCCCTCTTAATCACCTGGGTGCAAATCCACCACACCCAGTTGTGAGGCCTGGGTAGTGAACAATCTTTCTATGCCTTTATGTCCCATTTGTAGAGTAGAAACGGTCTGAGAATAAGATCATGCAAGAGGAGTCAGTTCAAGCCAGCACTGTTGATGGCTGGGTGCTCCATGAATATGAGCTATTAATATGACTCTACTCATCACCTTCTGCTTGCCCCCTCACCAAAATGCCTAAGGCACTGGGCCCTCTTAATTCCCCTTTAAATTCTGCCAGACCATAAGGTATTTTAGTTACAATGCCTCAGTTAAATGACCTTACTGGGTAATTTGGCTTTCCTTTTCTTACTTTTTTTTTTTTCCCCTTAAATACTGGATGTATGCTTATACTGATCTATGTCTAAAAAAGCTAGAATCCCTAGCTTTTTACACAAGTAACTCCACACGTCCACACACAGGTTTATACGTAGTTCCCAAAAATACAGACCTAGAGCCCAGCATCAGTACGCCCTTGTTAGAAATACCGAACCAGCGTGGGGCCCCGGACCGGTTTCACAACCCCTCCAGGTGACACTGACGCGCTCATGTTTGAGAACCACTAACTCCGGCCAGGGCAAAGTCGGCCTGAAAAAGGAGATCATGAGATCATCAAAACCAGACAAAATCAACCACAAAAACCCACTATCGAAAGTCCCCCCGGCGCCCAGGGCCCCGCGCTCCGTCCGCAAAGCCGCAGGTCGGCCGCCTCGCAGCGCAGCCCCAGCGCGCGCCAGGACCCCTCGGGGCGGCGG